ATAGAGTGACAACAGAAAATTCTGATAAACAGGCATGAGAAAGTAGAGACTAAATATAAAACAGAAACTAGTTTTATTTGGATTAGTCTATACCTAAGCCTACCCTAAATATTTAGGACAGCTCTCGGTAGAACCACCTCATCACAATGATGTAAATGACAAAAACTCTAGTATGGATAAAAAGCAGTACTTTGTCAAAGTTTCAGCATATGAGCAGAGATCCTCATTTCTAAACTAAATTGAAACACAAATCATTCAATGATTTATTCACTGAACTTATATTCAATCATCTCTAGGAGGACTAGCTATCTTGGCCAGGCTTGGCCTTGGTATACAACATAAGACCAAAAGGAATTTGGAGAGATTTCTGTTCTAGATAAGAGTACCTGTTAAGCTTCTGTCATCCAATCTATTTCTCTTCCACTTTACCACACTGCCATATCTGAACCAAAAAGGAATGGTCTGTGGAAGTAGGGGAATATAATTTCATAGAGCAATCTCTATGATGGAACTTGATACTGTAATTATCTTTACTAGAAAAAAAGTAAATAATACATACCTATCATGTACATACAGCTTCATTTTTTTACTAAGAAACTTTAATCTCTGCCATACAAATACAATAGTGTAAGTTTATTAAAATGACCAATTTCAGGTTTTTTATGCCTACAAACAAAAAAACCTTCTACCAAGCAATCTGAAGTCACTATATATCATCACTCAAAATGGAGATAATTATCCGTAACTGATGTAGAGGACAAAGACAAAAGAAAAAATTCAATTTCTTCACAAATTACACAGTCCACTAACAAGTCCGAGACAGGCAGAGTGACCTTCCTCTAGGAACTCAACTTCCTTGATGTTAATACTTTGCTAAGGGCAAAAGACAGTCTTAAGCTTACCTTTATCCCAACCTCCAGGATCCTGTAATTCTCCTTTAACATATAAAATATTCCTTTGGAAACCTCCTTTATCTCCACACCCCAAGTTACATGTTAGCAATCATCCTCCAAGCATATGGCCACTGATATACATCTGAAGGGTCTCATGACTAAGGTTTTACTAGAGAATAATAAATGACCTTTTCCTAGTAACAACTAGCCCCTCAAGGTCCTAGAAATCTTGCTTACAAATTCCTTAGACACTTAACACTCTTCCTAATCCCCTCCCACTTGAAAGTATATAATAAGTCCCTCCTCACAATCCCAGTGCAGCTCTTTCTGCCCCTGGGTCCTGTCCCCATGCTTTAATAAAACCACCTTGTACCAAAGACATCTCAAGAATTCTTTGGCCATTTGCTCCCAAATCCCAACATTGCCACATCATAACTAGCTTTCCATACATGATTAAATGCTTTATTTTCTATTTATTCCCATCCTCAAACCAATACCAAAAATCAAAATAAAGTTAAAGAGCCATCAAATCAGACAAATAAAAGAGGGGTAAAAAAAATAAACTAAGGGTACTAAAGACTGAGAAATTTTAATCTTATAACATATCTAAAATATAAATGTATAACATTCTGAATATAGTTATTATTTAAAAGGGGGGAAAAAGGCTGCCTCACTATAAAAGAAATTGTCCTTTGTGGTAGCAAAAAGAGTAAAGAATTTTTCCCATTAAAGAGGAAATTAAACAAGGCAAATTTCTTCCCTTTGGATACTATAAAGAGCAGCTGATAATTCAACAATTTGTTAAGTACTCAGCCAAAGGAGCAAATCTAAATATAGACAGAGAAAAGGGAGTCAGTGGTTTAAGTTACACATGACTCTTCCCAATTCTACCTTACTGGAATTCCTCAACACCTTCCAATAATCCTGTCTTTGTTGAAAATCACTACATTGGAGAGCCACTGTTAAGATGGAAATGTGCCAAATTTCTTTACTGAGCTGGGACAGAAGAAAAGATGCAAATCACTGATCTACAGTATCTGTAGGTCTATGCATAATAAAGCCTACTTTCTCCTACAAAATTATATTTTCTTATCATGTAATTGTGGGCTCTAGCCACCCTTGCTTCAATGAAAATTATGAGTATTATCAGCCACAAAACAGAAAGGCTAACAAATCTGCCATTTGATTAGCCCTATTACTCTGGTAAAACCTTGGCCTTCCTGAAACCGGAAGCCAGAGTTATTCAAGACATCCAGATTCCGAAAGTTCTACCTTATAAATATTAATTTTTTAAAATATCTTTTTAAGATTTACTTTTAAGAGAGAGAGAGAGTGAGAGCGAGCAAGTTGGGGACGAACAGAGAGAAAGAGAGAGACACAGAATCCGAAGCAGGCTCCAAGCTCTGGCAGGGCTTGAACCACAAGTTCGTGACCTGAGCCGACGTCGGACGCTTCACTGATTGAGCTACCCACGTACCCCTAAATTACCAATTTTTATTTTATAATTTGTAACAGAATTTTCTTTTGAAATATATCATCTTCTTTGCTTAAGAACAAGTGCTTTAAAGTATAAAAATAATATACAATCACTGAAAAAACTTCAATAATTCAAAAGTCTAAGTAAAGAGTGGAAGTTCCTTCCCCTTCCACCCCCGCTCCCATTCCCTAGGGACAACCACTATAAACCAATTTGGGGTGTATCCTAGACCTCTTCAGAATACATACAACTTTTACACATAACTGTATACACACACACGAGTAAAGAAGGAGATCTTGCTGTACATTCAGTTCTACAATGTGCTTTTTTACACTGATGGACTGAATAGCCTTTTAAGTTTATCCTGCTATACCAGATTTGTTTAAACTGCTTATTCCATAGTATTTTTCATCATTCCCTTACTGACATGCTACTTTTATGTTAGAAACACTGTTTTCATCTGATTTTTTGTAATATGTTAAACTTTATGTTTACTGTCACTTCAAACTGCCATCACTACATTGTCTGTAACATTTCTTATCCTCACTTTCATTCGAAAACTTGGAAACCAGACAACTTACTGTGCTAAAACTGAGATCAAACTGAAAATCAAATGAGGGAAATTTTCCATTGTTCACAGGTGATTACTTTTTTTTATTGCTATTTTAACCTCTCACGGGTCCTTAATGCTTCTTGATTCTGGGTAAAGAATTCTAGATTCTGGGTAAAGTTCCCAGATCATAACTTTCAGACAGGTGAAATATTATCATTATTATTATCAATATACTAGTAGGTTTGCTGGTTCATGTTTTCATATGGAAAATACCTTGTTTTTAAAAAAGGGGGAGGGGGCACCTGGGTGGCTCAGCTTCCAACTAAGCATCCAACTTCAGCTCAGGTAATGCTCTCACATCTCATTAGTTCAAGCCCCACACAAGCTCTGTGCTAACAGCTCAGAGCCTGGAGTCTGCTTTTAAGTCTGTGTCTCTGCCCCTCTCCCCTCATGCTCTGTTTCTCTCCCAACAACAACAACCAAAAACCCCACAAAAACCAGAGGAAATGAATAGGATAAGGAAATTAGCATGATGCCACTATGTTAGCAAATGTCAATATAATAGTATGTATATCATTATAAAAATATTATAAGTAATCTATTCATACTAGTCTATTTCATCCCTTATAACCAGTCAATAGTTACATACAGCACTACTACTGTAGTAGATATATGTGATTTATCACTCAAATATCCCCCAACCTTCTGCCACCCATTTAAATTTCTAAAGGGTAACTATCCTCCCCTATCACTATCTAGAAGTCAACCTAAGAGTATTTTCACCTCTGAACTGTTCAGGAGAAGCGTACAACCTAACCACGTTTAGGATGAAAAAAGGTGACCTTCACTGGAGTTTCTGGAAAAAAGAAGGTGGCACAAGCTTGCACTCTGCTTTCCTTCCATCCCGCTCCTCTCCCTGTTTTCAATTTCTTCTTTCTCCCTTTTCCTTCCTCTCTCCTCCCCCAAATGCACAACAGAAAAGACCATCATTCTTCCCTGGAATGTGGAGGTATGAAGATAAGAAATCTAGAGCTAAAGGGGCAAAAAGGATAGTACTGAATGGAAGCTGAGAATAAAGGCAACAAGGGGAAGCAGAGCCAGGAAATGGTGCCTGGACACATTTGACCTTTGAATCAAAATATACATAATTTTTTTTCATTAAAAATGCTTATTTATTTTGAGACAGAGAGAAAAAGAGAGAGAGAGAGAGAATGGAGTAAGATCAGAGAGAGAGGGAGAAAAAGAATCCTAAGTAGGCTCCACACTGTCACCACAGAGATCAAAGTGGGGTTCGATCTCACCAACCGTGAGTTCATGACTGGAGCCAAAACCAAGATATGGACACTTAAACTGACTGAGCCACCCAGGTGCCCCTAAGTATACCTGAATTTTTTAGTCATGTGTGCCAGTTGTAGGTTGGATTTTTCGGTCACTCGCAATATAAGGAACCCTAACACTGCTACCTAGAACCATATATTGGTGTCTAGTCTTTAAGGCTTTAAGCACCTTTTTTATTAAGTTCTACCAAAACTATTTGTCAAGTTGTAGTCTTACAATTTTCCACTTGAACAAAATCTTAAGATAAATTCCGTTTGTTTTATGGCTAAAATTTTCCCTTTAAAACTATTATCTTCTAAAACATACTCTAACATTACTTTCATCAGTTATACATATATCTGATTTCTGACAGAAATTCAGCTCAGCACATTCAATTTCCAAGTTCTAGAAACTCTCAGGAACTGAGAAACTGAAGAAATCTTCAATGATTTGGAAAGATTACTTAAGCAAAAGTTACAGGGGAAACGTATATAACTCAGGTATTTCTTTTTCCTGTCATTTTGCTTCCTGATTTGAGCATTTTAAGTATGTTTCTGGAATGACACCTATGCATGATCTAGCTAGCCAATATTCCTGGTGGTACTAGCAATTATTTAATTAAATTGATCATTAAAGCAAATCAGTTACCTAATTCAATCTAATTATGACCAAAAAAATCCACAGAATTTACACTGATCTACTATCCAACTATTTAAAGATATAACTTTGTTTCTGGGAACTGAAAAAAATTATAACTTACCTCAATTGTTTCGCATAGTTCTGTTCAATTTCTATCCTCTCTTTAACAAATTTGGCATATCTTTCCAAGAAGTCAATTCCCCATTGTGTATGCTTGTCTAAGCTGTCGAATTGATCCTAGAAAGAGAAGGTAAAAACACACTGAAAAGTCTAAAATTTTATCCACAAATATTTTAACCAGCTTCTGATGTTTATTCAGAGAAGTAACAAGGTATAAAAGGAAAAAAAAAAAATCTAGGCTGCTCTGCTGGTCTCCACTCACCTCATCCTTTAAGATCTACACAGAAATAGGTTATAAATGCAAAATGTTTTAGCATAAATCACAGAGCTTCATGTCTGGGTGCCTTTACACACGTGGTTTCCTCCAGAGGCAACACTCTCTCCTGATCATCTTCTTACAATTTACTTTTATTCCTCCTCTGAGATTTAGTTCAGATATTATAGCTTCCAAAAAAATGACCCTAAATTCTCAGACTGGGATATATTGGTCTTTATATGGTTCCCCAAGGCTGGGGGACTTTAACTAAAAGTTAATTGTTCTTTTTAAAAGATTTTATTTAAATTCCAGTTAGGTAACAGTGCAATTATTATTTTCAGGTGTACAATAGTGATTTAACTCTTCCATACATCACGCAGTTCTCTTCACAAGTGCATTCCTTAGTCACCAATCTCACCCATTCCTCCCCACCTCACCGCCCTTCTGATAACCAACAATTTGTTCTCTATAGTTAAGAGTCTTGGTTTGCCTCTCTTTTTTCCCCCACTGCTTGCTTGTTTCTTAAATTCCACATGAGTAAAACCACGTGGTATTTTTCTGACTTATTTTGCTTATAATAATACTCTCCAACTCCATCCATGTCCCTGCAAATGGCAAGATTTCTTTTTTTTTTTTTTTACGGCTTCTTTACACACACACACCACGAGTTCATTATCCATCTATCAGTCAGTGGACATTTGGGCTGTTTCCTAATTTGGCTATTGTAGATAACGCTGCTTTAAACACTTGGGTGCATATAACCCACTGAATTAGTACTTCTGTATTCCTTGAGAAATACCAGTAGTATGATTGCTGGATCATAGGGCAGTTCTATTTTGAGGACCCTCCATACTGTTTTCCAGAGTGGCTGCACAAGTTTGCATTCCCACCAGCAGTGCAAGAGGGCTCCATGTTCCCTTTTCTCCATATCCTCACCAACACCTATTGTTTCTTGTGTTGTTTTCAGCCATTCTGACAGGTCTGAGGTGACAACTCTAGTTCTGCTTTGCATTCCCTGATGATCAGGAATGTTTAGCATCTTTTAATGTGTCTGTTGGCCATCTGTTATGTCTTCTTTGGAAAAATGTCTACTTAGGTCCTCTGCCCACTTTTAATCTGATTATTGGGGGGGGGGGCGTTTGGTGTTGATCAAGTTCTTTACATATTTTGGACATTAACCCCTTATCAGATAGATATATGATTTGCAAATATCTTCTCTCTTTCCATAGGTTGCCTTTTAGTTTTATTATTTCCTTTCTTGTACAGAAGCTTAAAAATTACTGTCTTACTCACTTGCCATACTCTTTAAGGTCAGGAACCATGTATTATTCATCTCAGAACTCCCAAGGCATAATAATACCTGGCACCATAGCAGGCACTCAATGAAGCTAAACAAAATCAAATATACCACTGAAGGGCAAGCTTCATTTGGAAATACTGTAAAAAGTCTATCTACCATATTACAAAGGCACTATTTTCATAAAACTGATAATAAAAATATGCTATCATATTCTGTGGAGTTCTGGCTTCACTTTTTTTTGCTTACTGATAAATGATGAAGTGAGTAACTTGCAATCATATCCCAATTTCCTTTTTAAAATTCCTTTCAGTACACTGCTATATCACTGGTTATAGGATTTCTTCATAAAACACTGTTCAAATAACTTACTATTGAGAATAAAACGTCAACATATCTCTCCTTCAATGGTTCACAAAAAAAGTAGTTCTAAACACACTTTATTACTGAAACAATCTTAAAACACTATATGCTGAGATACCATAATCAAACTGTATAAGCATACTTTCAACATGTAACTTTTCCTAAAGTATTTCTAATAGTATTTGTTGAGATCATTAGTTTGTCACCATGTTGTTTTACATATACTATATCACTATTATTACCACAAAAAGAGCAATGTATTTCTAAAAGCATGCTTTCACCATTAAGTCTGAAATCTGAGAGGATTCCAGCACACTCATGTTAACAGTAGCATTATTCACAATAACCAAAAGATGAAAACAACTCATGTGTCCATCAATAGATGAATGAACAAACTATGGTATATAATACAATGGACTAATATTCAGCCTCTAAAAAGGATATTTTGACACATAGTATAACATGGATGAACCTTGAAGACGTTATTCTAAGTGAAATAATGCAGTCAGAACAAATACTGTGATTCCATTTATATTAAGTCCCTAGAGTAGTCAAATATATAGACACAGAGAGTAGAAATGTGGTTCCTAGAGGCTGAGGGGAGAATGGGGAGTTACTGTTTAATACGTAGAGTTTCTTTGGAAAGATTAAAAAGTTCTAGAGATGATGGCCGTGATGACTGTACAACATCATGAATATACTTATTATCAATAAATTGTACACATAAATGGTAAATGTACTTCTATTTTACCACAATAAAAGGAAGGAGCTTCCAAACACTTATTAGTAAATTCAGTGAAATTTAGTATATTCTTGATCATGTCAGACGTCACCATCTGGCTTATTTTTTCAAACTTTTGCTTTATTCTGATGGCTTCATATTATTATCTGATTATCCTAAGATTCAAAATACATTCAGGGCAAGTGTCAATACTGATAGTAACAGATCTGTGGCCAGATTTCAAATAATCTTCTCATGGGAAACCATTTTAGTCCATCATGATACAGCCATCATATATTTTTTCTTTCTTTCTTTTTTTACCATTTATTTGTTTTTGAGAGACAAAGAGAGACAGCATGAGCAGGGGAGGGGCAGAGAGAGGGGGAGACAGAATCTGAAGCAGGCTCTACGCTCTGAACAGTCAGCACAGACACGGGGCTCGAACCCATGGACCATGAGAAGTCAGACGCTTAACCAAATGAGCCATGCAGGTGCTCGGATTACTTAAATATTCAAAAATATCACGGGACAACTGTCTAAGTAGAAAACCTCAGAGGAGCCAAATAACTGAGTTAATTATTTTTTAACTAAGATTTTCATGTATGTATTAAGTAAACAAATCTCAAATAAAGGCCATCTAGGAAACATACCAACCAGCATTAAAAGGCAGGATAACGGCAAGATATACATGTTTGACTAAAAATGAAACAAAGTTCTCTGTTTTTTAACCACTTTGGGGGAAAAAATCTGAATTGAAAAAAAGTACCTATGAAAGATAAAAGTCTTGACACAGAAAATTTTAAATACTATTATATTCATATTGTATGTGATATTTTGCCTCAGTCAGCCCACAAATTACAAATAAGAATTTCTGTCAAATATAGATTTAATATTATGACCTTTAAAATGCAGACAAAATAGTTTTTTATTTTTAAGATAAAATTTATTTAATCCATTGAATAATAGATCTTGGTTTTCAACTAGACATATTAATTATAATATATTAAGAATCAGTATAAGTATGATAAACTCCAAACATTCAAAAATAAGTGATTTAGGGGCGCCTGGGTGGCTTAGTCGGTTAAGCGTCCGACTTTCGCTTAGGTCCTGATCTCGCGGTTCGTGGGTTCGAGCCCCGCGTCGGGCTCTGTGCTGATTGCCAGCTCAGAGCCTGGAGCCTATTTCGGAGTCTGTGACTCCCTCTCTCCCNTTGCCAGCTCAGAGCCTGGAGCCTATTTCGGAGTCTGTGACTCCCTCTCTCCCTGACCCTCCCCTGCTCACGCTGTCTCTCTCCTAGAAATAAATTAAAAAAAAAAAAAAAAAAAATAAGTGATTTAAATTTTGAAAGGAAGTGAGCAGAGAAACTAATTCAGCAATCTTCAAAAAGGCAAAGTAAATAGCAAGAGATCCAAACAAGATTCATGGTTGAAATGTTAATATATTCAGTGAACAAATGTTCATTTTAAATTCTGTAATTTTACCAGACATTTTACTTTTTCTCTAAGCAGAACTCAACAAAAACATCAACTGCAAACTGCAAAAGAACTTCACCATAAAGTTGCGTCATTACTCTGAATCCAAGAGACCTTAGATAACAACTTACAAGTTCAGTTTTCATTTTTCATTTACCAGTTTCCAATCATTTGAATTGCTTCATTTGTGAACAATGATTTTAGTATTTTTATGGAATTCAATGACTTAAGAAATGTTAAAACCAGGTACTGATAACAAAATTAACCTCATCACACAGCCTAGCACATAAAAGGCACTTACTTGCCGACTGAATAACCATTCTATCTGCATAGCACTTTTGAATTTACAAAGTGTTTTCACATGTATTACCCAATATCACCCTCAAAACCCTCTTGGACAAGGCATTTTATAAATGAGGAAACCATATTTCTGACTCCAGACCTCATTTTCTTCCTACTACAACACACCGTTGTTTGTTAAGTTAGTTTAGTAATTAACATTTATTAGTAAATAATGGTCTCAGACCCTTGGTTTTACAAATATGGAAGCTAATGCCCAGAACTGCTGAAGTAATGTGCCCCATAGCTGGATAACAACAAAACTAGGATGGGACTAGGAAAGATTATCTTCTAAAATCACTGCCAGTTTTATGTTCTTAAAAACCAAATGAGTAACTATTGTGAACACTATTACTAAAAATGATGCATTTCTTTCACCAGGAAAGAAATAGGCCATTTGAAAAATATCCTGGGTCACTGGGAAGCTTTGATGAAAGGAACAAATGAAAAAAATCTCAAAGTTAGAAACTGCCTAATACAAACACACAGCGAATGCTTAAACTCTCTTTACATGATTCCTGGTAAGTTGGTTCAGTGTTTTTGAGCAGCATACCATTACTGATCAGAACAACTCCAGAAGCATGACAGAAGAAAGACATTAAGAATTCTTTTTACTAACACAAAATAAAGTAGAAAACTCTTAAATCAAATAAAAGAATCAATCATAAA